AACAGATGAATGGATCAAGAAGATGTGGTTTATCTATACCATGGAATACTACATGGCAATGAGAAACAATGAAATCTGGCCACGTGTAGCAACATGGATGGACCTTGAGGGCGTTATGCTGAGCGAAATCAGTCAGGCAGAGAAGGACAAATATCATGTGTTTGCACTTATAGGAGGATTAGGAGGAACTTGATGGAGGAACAAGGTGGAGAAGAAGGGCGGAAATGGTGGGGGAAAGGGAGAGAGGCAAACCATGAGAGACTCTTGAATGCTGACAAAAACTGAGGACTGATGGATGTGGGGGGGAGGGGGGATGGGCATGGAGGAGGACACTTGTGGGGATGAGCACTGGGTGTTATGTGGAAACTAATTTGACAATAAACTATTTGTAAAATAAATAAATAAATAAATAAATAAAAATTAAAAAAAACTACTCTAGGGATCAATGGCATTTAGGAAAAAAAAAAAAGGAATCAGTTAGACCTTGAAAGATATTGCATAAAAAGATTTTATCTGAGTATTAGAATTCTTCATATTTTCTCACATTTCTGCTCCTATCTTCTCCATTCTAACTGCACTTTCTTTTAATAGTGTCATGTTCTCTTCTAGTTTACCCAAATTTGACACCTGAGACTTGTCCTTCCCTTTCTTTCTAATCCCAACCCCATTGATTCAATCATCAATTCAGTTCTCCTTTTATAAGGATGTGGTCTTTCCTTTCCCTACTGCTCTCAACTCTTTTAGTTCAGTGTTTTTAAAAGTCTGGTCTATAGACCACACACATCCAAATTCTGTAGAGTTTTTATGATTGGAATCACTTGCAATACCTGTTAATATAGATTTTGCAGATTGGAGGTCCAGACCTTTATAATCAAAATTTGAGGATAGGGGCTTGGAAATGTACATTATTATCAAGCATCTATCTCATAATGCCCAAGAAATCTTCACATTTCCTAATATAAATTGGATGCGAGTAAAAAATTAATGCACAGTGAGCCAGTTTTGTATTGCTTCCTTGGCATATTCTGCCCAGATCATAAAGCACCTTGCTTTAGAATAGAGCATTACCTGACACCTCTTATTCCTAATCATTGATGTTGCTGTCAAAACTCTGAGGCAGTAGGAAAAGTCTTGTTTAACATCCCATTACACTTAATTTAATTCATTTGTCCTACCTTTGTAAGGTTTCTAAATATTAATGAATACATGATTAGTTAATATAGGCCTGATTAGCTTTATCACATTTTAGGGGTTTTTTTTTGTCATATTTAGTTTAAAAAATCTGATATTCCTTAATAAAATTATCTGGTCATTTCAGAAACAGGTGCCTGATAGTCCTAATTTTCCATGGTATCCTTTTCTATCCCATCCTATTTTTTTTCTTCTTCTCCTTTTTTTTTTGTTTTTTTGTTTTAATAATTTATTGTCAAGTTGGTTTCCATATAATACCCAGCACTCATCCCCACAAGTGCCCCCCTCTATGCCTATCACCCCCCTTCCCCCCCAGCCCCATCAGCCATCAGTTTGTTCTCAGCATTTAAGAGTCTTTCATAGTTTGCTTCCCTCCCTCTCCCCAACTATTTTTCCCCTTCTTCCCCCCCATGGTCCTGCATTAAGTTCCTCCTAATCCACCTATAATGTGCAAACATATGGTATCTGTCCTTCTCTGCCTGACTTATTTCGCTCAGCATAACATCCTTCAAGTTCCATCCATGTTGCTACACATGGCCAGATTTCATTCTTTCTCATTGCCATGTAGTATTCCATGGTGTAGATAAATCACATCTTGATCCATTCGTCAGTTGATGGACACTTAGGCTCTTTCCATGTTTTGGGTATTGTTGAGAGTGCTATGAACATTGGGGTACATGTGCTCCTATGCATCAGCACTCCTGTATCCCTTGGGTAACTTTCTAGCAGTGCTATTGCTGGGTCATAGGGGAGTTCTATTGTTAATTTTTTGAGGAATCTCCACATTGTTTTCCAGAGGGGCTGCACCAGTTTACATTCCCACCAACAGTGTAGGAGAGTGCCTGTTTCTCTACATCCTCGCCAGCATCTATAGTCTCCTGATTTGTTCATTTTAGCCACTCTGACTGGCGTGATGTGGTATCTCAGTGTGGTTTTGATTTGTAGTTCCCTGATGTCCATCCCATCCTCTTAATCCTTATACTTACTTACTTATAGTTACTTATACTTACTCTTTTTTCTGTCTTATGGAGAGAGGATCTCTTTCGGAAACAGAAATTTCTATAATATTTTTTGATTCTATTTACTTTCTAAAACTCTTAATCACTCTTGCCATGGGTAATACACACACCACTACCACCACCACAACTACTTTGGGTACCAAAGAAATTGGTTGTCTTAGGGAAGGAAGGTTTCAGTTGCTGAGGTAGGAGGGATGATAGAATGAAATGGTACAATGATAGTAGAATGATGATAGTAGAGACTTGGTTGCGTATGGGCAGCCCTCTTCCTGCCAGGAGGTGGAAAATGATCCTTTCATTTGAAACCTACAAAATGTTTCAGTGTGGAGAAAAGCTGTCAGTCTCTAAATTACATTTTCATTACAGACATAAAGGAGATAATTCTCAGAAGTGGGTGTTTGGAACTGACAGCTGCATTTATTCTAAGGTAAGGACTTTGTAAGCCACGGTTTTTATTCTTAAAATTTTCTGTTCCCAGATTCTTATAAATGCACTGCCTATTATTGAGAGCAAGAAATGCTTTTTTTTTTCCTTCCACAAATATTTCCCTGTGCCCAGAAGTTTAGAACTGAACTTAACTCAGTACTTTCTGTGAGGTTTTGTTTGACTTTAAAATATAGTTTTTCCAAAACCAGAAATTCTTTCCAATCCATCACTCTGATACAATCCAGCATTCCATGGCGCCAGTTTTTTATTTCTTCCCATTATTTTTAAAACTTTAAAAAGATGTTTATTTATTTTTGACAGAGAGAGATAGAGAGCGAGAGAGAGAGAGCTCTCAGGGGAGAGGCAGAGAGAGAGGGAGACAGAGAATTCGAAGTAGGGTCCAGGCTCTGAGCTCTCAGCACAGAGCCCAATGCAGGGCTCAAACCCTGAGCCAAAATTGGACATTTAACTGACTGAGTCCCCCAGCTGCCCCCTCTATTATTTTTAGATTTAATTTAATTTATTATTTTTTATTGAGGTGTAATTGACATATGACATTGCATAAGTCTGCACATGTTGATTTATTATTTTACATATTGCAAAATGATTATTATAGCATTCACTAACACCTCTATTACATCACATAATTATCATGCCTTTTTTTGTGGAGATTAAGGTTAATTCTTTTAAAACCTTTCAAATATGTAATAAGTTATTGTTGACTATAATCACTGTACTATGCATTAGGTCTCCAGAACTTATTGGTTTAATAGTTGCAAATTTGCACTGATAAATATCATCTCACTTCCCTCATCCTCTCTCCACCATTCCTTTCTCTGCTTCTATGAGTTCAGCTTTTTTAGAGTCCACATATAAGTGATATCATGCAGTGTTTGTCTTTGACTAATCTCACTTAACATAATGCCCTCAAGCTCCATCATAGCAAATGGCAGGATTTCCTTCTCTCATGTGGCTGATAAATATTCCATTGTATATATCACATCTTTATCCATTCATCCATTGGCACTCAGGTTGTTTCCATATCTTGGCTATTGTGGCAAATGTTGTAGTAAACATGGGAGTGCAGGTATCTTTTTATGTCCACATCAGTTTTCTTATTCATTAAAATGAGGAGATTGGCACTTTGGAAAACTGGCACAGCTACTAAAGTTGAACATGTCTGTACAACCTAGTAATTCCCATACTAGTTTAATGCTAAAAAGAAATAACTACATATCTTAAGAAAAAGATATTTACTAAAATGTTAATAGCAGTGCTAATTGTAGTAGTCTCAGCATGGAGATTATGGAAATGCTCCTTAGCATTTGAATAAGTGGATAAATAAATTGTGATATATATATTCAATGGATTACTGTATAGCAGAGTTGGAAAACTTCTATAAAGGACCAGATAGTAAATATTTGGGGCTTTGTGAGCCATACAATCCCTGTTCCAACTTCTCAACCCTGCCTTTGTAGCATGAAGGCAGCCATAGACAGATGTAAATAAATGGTGTGGCTGTGTTTCAAGAAAACTTTATTTACAGAAACAGGTGGTCAGTTAGATTTGGATCATGGGCCTCAGTTTTCTGACTCTGGAGGATAACAATGCCTATAAACAAACTATAATTACCTGTAACAATGTATATGAATATCACAAATATAATGGTTTACAAAGAAGCCAGTTGCAAGAGAATGCATGCTGAGTGATTGCAGTTATTTAAACCTTAATGCCAAGCAAAACAACAAATTTTCAAGTGTGCTGTGTTGTTCCCTTTCTTGACCTGGGTGATAAATTAAACAGGTATTCACAATGTAAAAATGGGTTGAATTGTATACTTTATGATTTATGTACTCTTCTGTAGATATACTATATGCATATAAAAATTTGCTTTAATAAAATGAAAATATTGGTTTTGAGTTCCCAAGATTTTCTCCCTTGTCTATGATTCCAAGCCTAAATGGAATGTTAGTCAATCATCAATATTTAAGGAAGGCAAAAATTAGATTAAATGCATGGTATTTGTTAGTGTTTGCCTTAGGATGCCACCAGTATGATTTCAGAAAGGCTAAATTGCTTAGATCAATGAAACTGGACATACTCAGTGTGTTAATTTTTTAGGGCTGCTGTAACAAAGTACCATAAACTGGGTGGCTTAAGCAACAGAAATGTATTCTTTCCACTTCTGGAGGCTAGAAATCTAAAATCAAGGTGCCAGCAGCACTATGCTCCACCTGGATCTTCTTGGGGAAGATTCTTCCTGGCCCATTCCATATACTGGCAGTCCTGAACGTTCCTTGACTGTGGTAGCATAACTCCAATCTCTGCCTCCATCTTCACATGGCTATCTCCCTCTGCATCTGAATCTTCACATGCCTTTCTCCTCCATGTGTGTGTCTGTGTCCAAATTTTTCTCTTCTAAGGACACTACTCATTTTGGCTTAGGGCCCATCCAAAAGCTGTAATATTAATCTGATTACATCTGCAGAGACCTTATTTCTAAATAAGGTAACATTAACAGTTACCAAGGGTTAGGACTTCAATGTACTTTGGCGGGAGGCACAATTCAACTTATAACACAGAGCATGCTGGTTATCAATGTATTCCCTCTCAGTTCCAGATCTACCATTTATTGCCAGGCATCTGCCTCAGGCAGCTTTACAGCAGACTACTGCCAGTGGGGTACCTTCTTGTGAATGGTTTCCTTGAGCATGTTCCTCATGGGTGGCTCTATAGTGGAGTGTCACCAGCTAGCTTCCTCCCTGTGGACGGCTTCCCCTGGAGCTCCAAAGGCAGATATATGGTGAAATCTGTGGTGAACTTACTCAGGGACTTATTCAACATCTAGTGAGCCATGGCTGTGCTCTTTTCTATGTGGTTTGGATCTTAGTCATGGGCCAGTCCTCTTCCTTGGACATTCTATCTCAAGCCTAGCAGTACTGGCCGCTCCCTATATCTGGTATTCATATATTCTTTAGTGTTCTCTTAAACTCTTATTAGCCAATTATCTCACTCTCTAAGCCCCTGTTACCAATTGTTTATAATAAACTTTTCCTGTTCAAATCACAATGTAGTTTATATCTCCTTATTGGACCCTGACTGATAAAAAAAAATAATAGCTTTATTTCTCTAGTGTTCTAGAATTACATGTTTGAGCCTTTATTTCCTGACCTGAACCATTTTAGAAATTTAGAGAGTTTGATACAATTTAAATTTGAAAATTAAGATAATAGCATTTCCTCATAGTTATTTGATGGCACACTAGTTAAAACTCCAACCTATTCACTAACTCAACTAGGCCTATATACTTTTAGCTCTGTTCCTAAGCAGAGAATTTGACGTAGGCATCAACTGTCAAAGCATTTTAAAAATAACCTTTATCTAACTTCATGCTGAGATTCACCCTAGCTATCCCCTTGTCCTGTTTCTGTCTCCACCGTATTCCTGAGTCGGAGTAAAGCTCTATGTTAGTGGAGAGGGAGTCACAGAAAGACCAAAACTTATTCATCTTCATAAAAATAAAAAGTAGAATTTTGAGACTGAACTAAAATATCTCTCTGGCTCTTTGGCCTGTACCCTCACATGAGGACTTTATTCTGAGATATACCTAAGCAGAGCTGACTCCTAGTATCCAAAGAACATAATTCTATCCTATATAAGTATTGACCTTCTCATCAACAGACACAGAAGTGCAGGATCATGGCTTATGTGTATTTTCTTCTTTTCTTTCCAAATTCAGGTACCTAAACATCCAGTTTTTCTCTGCTCTTATTTTTATTTCCTCTCCCTTTCTTGTAATTTATCATTTTCTAATTATTCTCAACAGTACATTGGTAGCTAGTAAATAATTCATACTTATGTGTTTCAAACACGATTATTTTTAAGAGGATTTTGATTCTAAAAATTTTAATGTTCCATTCCCAAACACAATTGCTGATTTTTTTTATTACAATTCAGAGAGCAAAACTATTAATGAGGAATTTGATTCTTTTAGAGGCTTAGAAATTTTGATTAGATCTAAATTTAGTCACATCCAAAATTATATCCATCTAGTTAAGGCTAAAACGGAGAATAATTTGATAATTATTTGTGGCTGGATCATAAATGGAGCTCATTCCATTTATTTAAAAAAGAAGACAAAATTACTTTAGGATATTAACAACTAATTTTGGTTCCACCACTTATTAGTTGTGTGGCTTTATACAAGTCATTTAGCCTTTTGCAAGCTTCACATTATTTGTCTGCAAAATGGAGATATTAATGCTAACATTTTGAGTATTTGGCCCAGATTCTGGCATATCAATAGATTCTGGCATATTGATTCTAGCTAATTGATAATTTGTAACTAGTAATGATAATAATAATGAACAAATTTAAATATAATATTGCATTTTTATATTGTTTTTACTTGGATGAGTTTTGTTCCTTTTATTTGATTTGTTTTTAACGTTATCTATTCTTCTATTCATTTGTGAAAAGATAAAGTTGGATTACTTCCTTTATACAGTCTACCAGTTTGAGCTAAATTAAAGATTTAAACTTAAACATGTAATCATAAATGTCTAAAAGAAAGCCTGGATTAAAACATCGAACCCAGACTAGCAGTGAGTAGACCTCTCCATGAAACTACAAACAAAGACAGAATCCATAAAGGAAAAGACTGATGGCTTTGACTATATAAGAATCGAAAAACTCCTAACCTAAAATAGCATAAGGAAGAATAAATAGGGAAATATGACAAACAAGAAAAATCTTTTCAATATAAATGTCAGAGATAGGGTAGTATTCCTAATATATAATAAGCCTGATAAAACAGAAGAGGAGGAACACTTCAATAGAAATATAGGTAAAGAATAGGAAAAGGAAATACATGACAAAAGAAAAATTAGAAGAGCCAAACCAAATAAAAAAGTTCAGCCTCACTAGAAATTAAAGCAATGTAAAACAATGAGACAATATTTTATCCCTATTAAATAGCAGTAGATGTTAGAACTAGGAATA